CTTTTGGCCATCGCCCGCAATCTTTCAGACTGAAATGCCTAGTAGCACAAGAAGGAGACTCCACCCCTTAGTGATATTGATTTATCCAACCCATGAACATGATATATCTTTCCATTGATTTAGTTCTTTAATTTCTCTAAGCAATGGTTTGTGGTTTTCCATATACAAGCTGGAGACAATGTTATTTATTCTCTCAGTGATGAGACATGTGCTGTTCTCTACAATTTCATACCAGAATCATACTACCAAGTAGCAAATTTAACAGTTTGGGTCCACTTCTCTTCCAAGCTCATTTAAAAACATCAGGTATCTTCTGCTCTGTTATCCCTCTGCCCATCTTTAATGCCAACATCACACTGTCTTGATCACTGTTGCTTCATATTAAGTCTCACAATCAGGAAGTCTTGTGCTTCCAACTCAGTTCTGTTTTGACTATACTAGGTCTTTTGCATTTGTTTTGTCAATTTCTACAAGCAAGCCTGCTGGAATTTTGATCTAGAGAGACTTCACACCTTAGTGATATTGATTTCTTCAACCCATGAACATGGTATATATCTCTCCATTGATTTAGTTCTTTAATTTCTCTAAGCAATGGTTTGTGGTTTTCCATATACAAGTCTTTCATACCTTTTGTTAGATTTATCCATAAGTAATGCTTTTTAATGTTATTTCAAATGACTTTTTAAAAAATTTTAATTTCTAATTGTTCATTGTGAATGTATAGAAATAGAACTAACTTTTGTGTAGTGGTGTTTCGTGTACTGCAACCAACCTACCCACATATGGCTGACTGATGTTCAAAAGGCGTAAGAGCAAGTCAGTGAAGATAATCTTTTAAATAAAGGATGCTGGAATAATTGGATATACATATATAGAAACGAACAAAACCCCAAAACAACCTTCAATTCGTGCCTCACATTATAAACAAAATTAATTCAAAATGGATCACAGCCATAAATGTAAACCCTAAAGCTATAAAACTTCTAGAGGAATGCATAGAAGTACACCTTTGTAACCTTAGGCTAGGCAAGTATTTCTTAGATATGACACCAAAAGCCCAAAACACAACATAACAAATTAATAAATAAGACTTCATAAAAATTAAAAACTTCTGCTTTTCAAAAGACACTGCTAAGAGAAAGGATAAGCCACAGAATCTGAGAAAATATTTGCAAATCATATACCAGATTAGGGCCTTGTATCCAGAGTATATAAAGAACTCCCAAAATTCAATGATACAACTCAATTTTTTTATTCTTAAGACAGACTCAAAAAAAAAAAAAGAGTCTCGTTCCATTGCCCAGGCCAGAGTGCAGTGGCGCAATCTCAGCTCACTGCAACCTCTGCCTCCAGGGTTCAAGTGATTCTCCTGCCTCACCCTCCTGAGTAGCTGACATTACAGGCATGGGCTACCACAGCTGGCTAATTTTTGTATTTTTAGTAGAGAAGGGATTTCACCATGTTGACCTGGCTGGTCTCCAACTCCTGGCCTCAGGTGATCTGCCCGCGGTGGCCTCCCAGAGTGCTGGGGTTAAAGGTGTGAGCCACCACACCCAGCTGATACAACTCAATTTTTAAAAGAGCAAAAAAGATATAAACAGACACTACCAGAGAAGATATATACATGGCAAATAAGCACATGACAAGATGCTCAACATCACTAGCTGTCAGAAAAATACAAATTAAAACTACAAGGAGAAACCCCCTACATACCTATTAGAATGGGTGAAATTAAAAAGACTCATCATACCAAGGGCTGACAAGGGTGTGAAGGAACTAGAACTTCCCTACACTGCTGTGGGAATGTAAAATAGTACAACAACTTTGGGGAATGGTTTAGCAGTTTCTTTAAAAATTAAACTTCTGAAGTCAGGTGTGGTGGCTCACACCTGTAATCCCAGCACATTGGAAGGCCAAGGCAGGTAGATCACCTGAGGTTGGGAGTTCGAGACCAGCCTGGCCAACATGGTGAAACCCCATCTCCACTAAAAATACAAAAATTAGCCAGGTGTGGTGGTGCATGCTTGTAGTCCCAGCTACTCAGGAGACTGAGGCAGGAGAATCGCTTGAACCTGAGAGGCAGAGGTTGCAATGAGCAGAGATGGAGCCACTGCACTCCAGTCTGGGTGACAGAGTGAGATTCTGTTTCAAAATAAATAAATTTAAAAAATAAATAAATAAAAATTAAAAATTAAACACCTAAGAGGTCAAGGCTGCAGTGAGCTATGATCATGCTACTGCACTCCAGCTTGCGCAACAATGGTGTGACACTGTTTCAAAAAACAAAAAAATTAAACATACACCTGCCATATAGCACAGCCGCTCTACTCCCAACCATTCTCTACCCATGAGAAATGAAAGCAAGTGCCCATCAGAAACCTGTATGTCAGTGTTCAGAGCAGCTTTCTATGTAATAGTTGCAAACTGGAAACAAACCAAATGTCCCTTAACAAGTGAAGGGTAAACAAATGGTGGGCTAGCCGTGGGTAGAATACTATTCAGTGGTAGAAACCAGTGAACTTTTTTTTTTTTTTTTTTTAAGAAACGGAGTCTCCCTCTGTCACGCAGGCTGGAGTGCAGTGGTGCGATCTCAGCTCACAGGTTCACACCATTCTCCTGCCTCAGGCTCCCCAGCAGCTGGGACTACAGGAGCCCGCCAACATGCCTGGCTAATTTTTTTGTACTTTTAGTAGAGACAGGGTTTCACCATGTTAGCCAGGATGGTCTCAACCTCCTGACCTAGTGATCTGTCCGCCTCGGCCTCCCGAAGTGCTGGGACTGCAGGGGCGAGCCACCGCGCCCGGCCCCAATGAACTATTTATACAAATTACAACATGGATAAATTCTCAGAATAATTACTGTCTGTGAACGAAGCCAAACAAGAAAGAGTTCCTACTGTATAATTCTGTTCATAAAAAATTCTAGAAAGTGCATCAAACTGATAGTGACCAAAAAAAACAGATAAGTGGTTGCCTGGGAGATGGGCGAGGTGGGAGGTAAGGATGGTGCAGGGCACGAGGAAGTCTTTGGGAGTGATAGTTGCGTTCACTCTGGGTGGTGGCAGTGGTTTCATGAGTATGTATGCATTTACCTCCAAACTTATCAGAGTGTGCAACTTCAACATATGCAGTTTATTGTCTGTCAATTATACCTCAATAAGGCTGTTAAAGGAAGAAAAAAAAAACCCCATCGACTGGGCGCGGTGGCTCACGCCTGTAATCCCAGCACTTTGGAAGGCCAAGGCGGGCGGATCACAAGGGCAGGAGTTTAAGATCAGCCTGACCAACATGGTGAAACCCCGTCTCTATTAAAAATACAAAAGTTACCAGGTGTTGCGGCGGGCGCCTGTAATCCCAGCTACTCAGGAGGCTGAGGCAGGAGAATCGCTTGAACCCGGGAGGCGGAGGTTGTAGTGAGCCGAGATCGCGCTGCTGCACTCCAGCCGGGGCGACAGAGTGAGACTCCATCTCAAAAAAGAAAACAAGAAAGAAAGAAAAAGAAAAAAAAAAAAAAACATCGAGAGCTTTGGGAAGGGAAGGCAGCAACACCTTTCTAAGGTGTTGAAAGCTTTTTGAAAGCAAGGCTGTGCAGCTGATGAGGTTAGAGATCTCACAGTGGTGCTCCCTATCCACTCAGTCTTTAAGGAAGACACCTCCTCTCTGCTGGGCTCTGACTGAGGCTGCATTTCACTTTCACATTGTGCAATCCAGCTGCCCCAGCTGCCAGCTATCGGGGTCCTGTGACACTGCTAGCCAGCTGGGAGGAAGCAACCAGGTCACCAACATAACTCTGCTTCTCAGATGTGAGGGAAAATCCAAGCATCAGAGTCTCACGAAAACGAAACTTCACGAAAATTCGCAGAGCTGGGGTGGGGGTGGGGTGAGGGTGGGGTGGGGAGTGGGGGCGTTCAGGCCACACCAGCCAGCAGCAACTGTGCGTGGAATGGCTTAGGCCAGGGCCTGGGCAGACTGGCCCGACTTATGTAAATTATTGGGGTCTCGCTGAAAAACACACACAGATCATGGAATTACTAACTCCGATAGAGAGTTCATGGATGGCCTTCAGTGGGTCTTTGATCCCGAAATCATATCCACATTTTGTAAGTATGTGCATTCACGCATTTTTCCGGGGAGGGAGTTCCTAGCTTTCATCAGACCCTCCAAGAGCTCCCTGGCTGTAAAAAGATAAAGAAGCGCTGGCAAGGATAGAGCTAGATCCAGCTATTTTCCCCTCCTTCCTCTGGCTCCCGGGACAAAACCCCTAGGAATCGCTCATTCCATCCTCCCTGCCGAGATCGGAGCTCCGCGACCCGCTTTCTTCTCGAATACAAGCGATCACCAGATTTCTTCCCCCTTTTCACGCGAGTGTAGACACCAGGCTGGCCCCCCCCCCCACCCCCACCCCCTCCCCCCGGCCCCTGCTGGTTTCCTGCGCGCTTAAGAATTGGAAGTTGTTTCCAGGTCCCCAAGTGTGCAACTTGCCCGACGCTTTCCCCCCGGGGACACAGCTCCTCCCCACCCTCCCAGCTCCCACTGACAAAATTTACTTTTGCCTGGGAGTCGGGAGGGTAGTTTCTCCCGGACCCCTCCGAGGACCGCGTGCCGTGCAACAGCCGCACTGCTGTCCCAGCGCCTGGGAGAAGCGCACTCGCCCGTGTCTCCCAACTGCTGGACGCCGCCGGCTCCGCGCTCCGGTGGCCAAAACCTGCTTCGCAGAACTGCTCCCGACCTCGACCTCGGAGACCCCAGCCTGACCGCCCGCTCCCTTACGTGGGTGACCCGGGCGCAGCGGCGGCGCTCTCCTTGCGACCCCGGCTCCCGGCACGTGTCGCTCCTGCCTGGCGCCGCGCCCCCTCCCCTGCCCGGGCCTGCGCGCACCGCGCTCCCGAGGGCACCGACGCCCCGCACGGCCGGGGGAGACTGGGAGCCCGGTTCCCTACAGCTCCACGTCCCGGCCCCCTCCCGGGTCCCGCCCGGGCGCCCCTGCTCCCAGCTCCCTACCCCGCGTCGCTGGCGGCCGGAGCAGCAGCAGCAGCAGCAGCGCCGGGAGGCCGAGGGTCCGGGAGCCGCGCGCCCGCCGCGGGGCCATGGCCGCAACTCCACAGGGTCCTGCTGGACTCCCCGGGCGAACGCTGCCCAGGCACGGGGGAGGTGGCGAGCGAGGCTCTGGGACCTGCGGCCCCGCCAGGCGCAGTCGCTTTCGCTTTTGCTTTGGCCCCCGAGGGTTCGGAGAGGTGCAGAGCGGTGACAGATCCGTGACTCAGCGTCCCCACCCCTGCTGGTGAAGGAGCCCTGCGGACCGCCGCGGCCCCGCATAGCCACCCCTGTCCCCGGGACGCACGGGTCGTGCTCGGTGGGGACCAAGGACTTTACCCACGCAAGCCCGGGAACCTCCCGGTCCTCCGCGCTCCTCGTGCTCCGGGACCCCCAGCGTGCACTCGGTCTGGTGTCCCCACTGCGGAGAGAGTGGGCAAAGCCATCAGACAGCAGACTCTCTCCTGACCCCTCTGCGGCTCGGATCCACCCGACCTTGCCCCGCGCGGGTCGCCTCCAGCTGCTCCGCCTTCGACTTTCCTGGTCTCCCTCCGGGGCCCTGAGCTGGGTTCTGAGCTGCCGGCCTGGGTGAGTGCTGGCAGTGGTGTCGCCGCGGTGCGGAGGCGCTGGCACCTGCCTGGTGCACTCAGGCCCGGGCGGAGCGCAGCCCCCGCCACCTGCTGGCTCCCGCGGCGCCCGGCGCCCGCTGGGGTCCCAGCTCTGCCACTTCGCCGAATTCCTGCTGCAGCTTTGCTCCCCCAGAAAATGCCTCAGATTAGACGGAGAGGGGGCCGAGTGGGGTGACAGGGGAGAGCAGCCACAGTGCTTCAACTCTGCGCCTCGCTTCCTTAGGTTCTTCCAGGCTACCATCCCCCTCTTTGGCAGGTGGGGTTTTTCTTTCTTGGGGTCTCAAGTGAAGCCTGAGAACCGGGTCTGTAAGCTCCCAAGTGCAGATTCTCAGGTCTAGGGGTCACATTGGACAGGACGAGACGTCTCCGAGCCTCGGTCATTGTCTCTTAAAATCTCACGACTTGTTTATAAGGCTTTTGTGACATACTTGCAAATTCTCTTTGAAAACGAAATAATCTGTACAACAATCCCCCAAGACACGGGTTTACCTATATAACAAACCTGCACATATAACCCTAAACTTAAAATAAACAAAAGTTAAATAAAAGAATTTAGGACAGGGCGCAGTGACCACTCCCGTAATCCAACCACTTTCGGAGGTCAAGGCAGGTGGATCGCATGAGGTCAGGAGTTCGAGACTAGCCTGGCCAACATGGTGAAACCCTATCTCTACTAAAAATACAAAAATTAGCTGGGCGTGGTGGCGGGTGCCTGTAATCCCAGCTACTCGGGAGGCTGAGGCAGGAGAATTGCTTGAACCCGGGAGGCTGAGATTGCAGTGAGCTGAGATCGCACCACTGCATTCCAGCCTGGGCAACAGAGTGAGACTCGGTCTCAAACATAAAATAAAATAAAATAAAATAAATCAAACAAAAGAATGTAATGGCGTAAAACGTAGGTTGTTATACATCCCTCTCCCCCCAACCCACACACACAGTGGGAAAAGAGTAGATGAAAGCTTTTCCTACAGTCATGTTGAGCCTCAGGACCTTTCTGTTAATGCCAGCTGGTATGTGCCTTGGTGGTCCCATAAGATTATAATTCCGTGTTTTTACTGTAACTTTTCTATGTTTAGAGACACAGATCCTCACCACTGTGTTACAGTTAGTTGTCTGCAGTATTCAGCAAGGCTTCGTGCTACACGGCTTTGCAGTCTGGGAGCAACAGGCTAGGCCGTGTGACCTCAGTGCGTAGCAGGCTATGCCATGCAAATTGTGTAAGTCCTCTGTGATGTTGGCAAAACGAGGAAATCATCTGACAAGCTTCTCAGAAACTATCTCTATTAGTAAGTGAGGCATGACTGTACTTGCTCCTCTTTCCCTAAAAAGCTTAAAATTGGCATAAATGTAAAACATACTGAACAAAGGAATGCAGAGGATTGGAAATCTTACTTGGATCCAACCTGTAAATATAATCAATGTCAACATTTTGTGTGTTTCAGGTTTATGAAAACTTCTTTTGTTATGGACATTTTCAAATATCAAAAGTAGAGCCCAGATGCGGTGGCTCACGCTTGTAATCCCAGCACTTTGGAAGACAGAGGCAGGAAGATCGCCTGAGGCCAAGAGTTGGAGACCAGCTCGGGCAGCACAGTGAGACCCCTATCTCTACAAAAACTTAAAACAAAATTAGCCTGATGTTGTGGCACTTGCCTGTAGTCCCAGCTGCTTGGGAGGCTGAGTCGGGAGGACTGTTTAAGCCCGGGAGTGAGGTTTGAGGCTGCAGTGAGCTATGATGGTGCCACTGCATTCCAGCCTGGGCAACAGAGCCAGATCCTGTCTCTTAAATAATAATTTAAAAAAAAGTAGAAAGAATAATGAACCTACCATCTGGCAGTGACCACACAAGGTCCGTTCTTTTTTCTAAGCAGGAATAGCCACCCTTATTCCAACTGGGGAAATCCCACATTATTCAATCTCCCTCAATACTTAAGAATATATCTCAAGATGATAAGATCAAATTTTAAAATTAACAGTATTTCTTAATATTGTCAAATATATTCAGGCCTTATTGAATGCAGTCTGAGCATACCATGTATAAAATAGAGCAATTTTTATTCTATGAACATTTATGAAGTAGAGATTTCTCCATTCTTACAGATTCTTTGTAAAAGTTTTAATGGTTGCAGATTATCACAGTTTAACATCCCCTCTATTATTTTAATATTAAAATAAGATTGTCATAAATATCTTTCTACAAAGTCTTGTGAATTTAAGATTGTTTAGAATAGATTTCCTATAGTGGAACTATTGAGTCAACTGGCAGGGAATATTTTTAAAGGCTTTTTTTCCTTTTAAACAAATATTTCTATCTTGCTTTCCAAAAGTCTTGTATCAATTCTAACTAGCATTGTGTTAAAGTATCCATTTTACTGCATTCTGGCCAAAAGTACATTTTAAAATTTGAAAATAAAATTTTAAATTTGGTATGCTTAAAAGAACTTTATTTCATTACATATATATGTGTTGTTAACTAATGTAAATTTCAAACATACTTTGAAGTATAGCAATCAATAAATACAGTGGATATCCATGAGCCTACGGCCTCATCCTGTCAAGTCTTAATATGTCTGCCCAATGTTTGCTTCAGATATTTTTTGGAATAAAAAAATTACAGATAAAGTTGAAGCCCCTTTGTATTCCTGCATCGTTCTCTTCCTCTGTCTTCTACCTTCTCGCAGGTAATGTTTCTTGAAATTGGTACTCATTATTCCCAGGCATTCTTAGGCCCCTTTTCCATGTGTATGTCCATGTGTGATGGACAGGATGGTTTACATGTTAAAAAATTCATATGAATAAGGTTGGGTGCAGTGGCTCACGTCTGTAATCCCAGCACTTTGGGAGGCCGAGGCAGGAGGATCATTTGAGGTCAGGAGTTCGAGACCAGCCTGGCCAACATGATGAAACCCCATCTCTACTAAAAATACAAAAATTAGCAGGGTGTGGTGGCATGCGCCTGTAATCCCAGCTACTTGGGAGGCTGAGGCACAAGAATTGCTTGAATCTGGGAGGTGGAGGTTGCAGTGAGCTGAGATCGCTCCACTTCACTCCAGCCTGGGCGATAGAAAGAGACTCAGTCTCAAAAAAAAAAAAAAAAAAAATTCATCTGAATAATAACAGGTTGAGTGCTCCTGATCTCCAAATCCAAAATCCAAAATGGTCCAAAATCCAAAACTTTTTGAGCTCTGACATTACACCACAAGTGGAAAATTCCACACCTGATCTCATGGGGTGGGTTGCAATCAAAACACAGGCAAATAACACACTATTTATTCAGCATCCCCAAGGGGAAAAAGACTCTCCCAGCCACCTTCAGCTGAGAGATATCTTTTCTGTGCACACCCAGATTCCCCTATGCAAGCACACACACAAAGGGTGGTAAAATGGCATATGTGCTGGTCAAACACACCCATGACAGGTCCCCACAATTCCCCATATGGAGCCAAGGCCTGCCCCTGTGCACTTCTCACTGTGGTATTTTTGCTTATTCTCTGCTGTCTGTTCTAATGATATTGTTGAAAATGTTGGCCAGGTGCAGTGGCTCACGTCTGTAATCCCAGCACTTTGGGAGGCCAAGGCAGGTGGATCACTTGAGCTCAGGAGTTCAAGACCAGCCTGGGCAACATGGCAAAACCCCTCTACTAAAAATATGAAAATGAGTCTGCTGTGGTGGCAGGTGCCTGTAATCTCAGCTACTCAGGAGGCTGAGTCACAAGAATCACTTGAACCCAGGAGGCCGAGGTTGCAGTGAACAGAGATTGCGCCACTGCACTCCAGCCTGGGTGAAAGAGCAAGACTCTGTCTCAAAAAAAAAAAAAAAAAAAAGAAAAGAAAAAAGAAAATGTCACAAAGGTCTGCAGATACCCCTGTGGATAATAGCATTAAGAAAAATAAAATATTTATGTGTATCTATAACACAGAAAGTCAAACTGTTGGGGACACTAGGCAGTGGTGTAAGTGTGAAACGTCTTACAGAAAAGTACGGTGTTGGAATGACCACCACATAGGACCTGAAGAAACAGAGGGATAGACTGTTGAAGTTCTGTGCTGCAAGTGACTAACAGGAGTTAATGGAAAATAGAAAAACCCTGCATAAAATAAGGGATGATCTCGATTGTGCGCTGGAAAAGTGATCCATCAGTATCACAGTGGACACATGCCACTTAATGATACGCTGATCATGAAACAAGAAAGATCTATTATGATGAACTAAAAATTGAAGGGAATTGTGAATATTCAAGGTTGATTGTAGAATTTAAGAAAAATATGGCATTAAATTTTTAAAGATTTTTGGCGATAAAACATCTGCTAATCACAAAGCAGCATTGGCTAGTTTGCCAGCGTCATTGCCGCTGAAAACCTGACACCAGAACAAGCCTATAATGGCCATGAAACATCACCGTTTTGGTGCTCTTGTCCCAGAAACACACTGACCCCTGCGGATCAGATGGTCCCAATAGGAATTAAGGAACCCAAAGACAGAACTGTGCTGGGTTGTGCTAATGCAACAGGCACACA